GTATCATACTATCCTTACTCATGAGTATCCTTACTCGTGAGTATCCTTACTCGTGAGTATCCTTACTCGTGAGTATTCGTTATTTGCAAAAAATAAAAATAAAAATTTAATTATATTTTATTAAGTTAAATTTAATTAAAACTAAATTGAAATTATATTTTATTAGGTTATGTTAAATTAAATTTTGTAAAACCCTTGAAAATGACATTTTAGAAGTGATGGTAGTCTAAAAATAGTGAGACTCGACTATTTTAACATTAAAGGATTTTATTATAAATATTTTGTTATAAGCGATTTTCATTATTTTAAAACATACCATCTCTAGAAATCATTTTTCTAGAGTTCTCTACCTTCTCTCTAAGAGTTCTTGATCTCAAGTCATCTATTTGACGATCAGGAGGTGCCTAGACGATCACGGCATCAAGGTCTTCAAATCCAACCGATCAATTTGTTGTTTAGAGCAAGTAAGTTAGAAACCCCTTTCTTTGATATTTTAGGGTTCTTGATTCAGTAAATCTTTTCTCTTTTTGCATGGGTCAAGAACTCTTTTTAAATTCTTGGTTCGTTGGTCTCCAATCACCAACCGGTGGTTTATAGGTTTTCTAGAAGTTCCTTGTGCCGCAAGAAACCTGTGGAGCGTTTAGAGGTTTTGGAGTTGTTGAGTCAAGGTAAGGGAAGGTAGATAATTACTTTCAATTAAAGTATGTGGTGAAAGTTTGATAGTATATGAGTATTAAACTGTTTGAATGAAAATGTTGTTTGTTGTTAGTGATAATTGAGTTAATTGGGTAATATTGATGTTTTGTGTAATGATGTATGTTGTATAATTGTTTGAATATGTGTGTATGCGTATTTGAGATGTGAAAATTATGTTGAGAAAGTGTTTGATGCGGATTGTATGGTTGGAAGAAAAATATTGGTTGTAGGTTAATTGGTCCAAATTAGAGATTTTGATAAGGAAATAGTGAGAAATGGTTGATATATTGTTTTGCTGCAGTTGGTCTTAGTTAGGAACTATTTTGGATCATAATTAAGTGTCAAAGTGGGAGGAAATCTGTTATAAAAGGGTACGAGGTTGTGTAGACATAGTTTACATTAGTCTAGGACTTATTATAGGAAGTGGAGTAGTGAAAATGAGAATTAGGGGTTAGAGGTTCAAATGGTCAGTTGTAATAGCTTAGTTAAGTCATTTGTGACTTGTGAGAACTACTTATTTGATCAAAAATGTGAAAAAAGTGGTAGATTGGGAATTGAGTCTATAAGTTGGTGTTTTGGAGATTTTGAAGTGGAATAGGATTAGAAAACTCTTTAGAATGATGTTAGTAAGTTTTAGGAACACTTGTTCAAGTCTAATTAGGTGTATAACACAATCTAGGAAGGTTAGAAGTTGGGAAAATTATATTAAATTGGACTAGGGCAGTTTGGGGTGATAATTCTACAGTTTCGTGCTGCAGAATTATGCAGACTCGCTGAGCGAGTGGATTCGCTCAGCGAAAGGTCAAAAATTTGGTTTGCTATTTGAGTAATTTCGCTAAGCGAATTTCAGAGGTCAGGAAGCACTATCAGTTTTATTCGCTGAGCGAATGGATTCGCTCAACGAGTGATGGTAGAGGTGGGTTGTCTATTTGAGGACTTTAGCTTAGCGAATGGCATGCGCTGAGCGAAAAATATTATATTTTCAACTAAGTTTTATATGTTTTCTTAAAGTGTGTACAATGTATGTGAATGTTTGAATGATTGGTTTATACTACTTGCTGTGGAGTATGAATTGAATTGTAATATGAATTGAAATACATAATGGTTGATTTAAAGTGAAAGTATATGGTTTCAAAGTAAGTTCCAAAGTGAATGCTCTCGGTTAGGTTCAAGTGTTTTAGAATGAATACATGGAGCTCAGTATTGGGGTTATCCTAACACTCTAATGATCTTTCATTCTCAAGTAGAGAGGATTGATACATGTGGTGAGAATAGTAGGAGGTCCTAGTGTAGACACTACTTGGAGGCCTATTGCGCGGTAACAGATTAACCTTGTGTGTGTGGTAGGGTGAAACCCATGGCAATGACTTTGCAAAGCAGTACTAGTAGAGGCTACCACAAGTGCACAACCCGCCATACCAGACAGTCGGTTTAGGTCTTTGCATGTTAAGATGTTTGGATTGGATTAAATTACATATGATTCTTATGTTAAATGCTTTAAACTTATGATGTATTGTTTTGTATCTAGCATACCCTTGCTTTTCTGTGGTTTTTCTTTGTATGTTGTTTCTCTTTTGCGATGATTACCTTAATGGTGTGAGCTTAGAGATGCAATCTTTTTAGTTGGAGTAGCTGAAGGTGGGAAGTGAAGCTTATAGGATATGTAATTATTTTTGTTCTTCAGGTGAAAATTTTTATTCACCAAATTTATAGTTCTTGTTCTGTCATTATACATGTAATGTTTAGTTTAGTAGTTTTATATTACTAAATTTGGGATATTATAAATTTAAATTTATATTATATTTTATATTCTTTTTGTAATTTAATTTATATTTTATTTTAAAAATTTATAAAATATTTTTTTTAATATCTACAGATATTTGTGGATACTTGCGGGTTTTAAAATACTCATGAGTATTTTTTGAGCAAGTATTTGGTAGATAACAGATGAAATATTTTGTTACGGATTATGTAGTAGATAAGTACTCTCTCCACCTCCCTCATTTCTTCGTCACACGCTCACCTTCACACATCATCATTTCACCTCCATCATCGAAACCCCATTCATCTCCTTCATTATCACCTCATTCACCTCCATTATCCTCATCCCTCCACGTAGACTTTCTCTCTTATTTATTTTTTCTCAATCACCCATTTTTCCCAATCACTCCATTATCTCTACCCAACCATTCATCATCACCACCATTTTTTCTGTACTTTCAATCAATGCACCAGGGAACTCTAATAAGACAGGGTCTTTTGGAGATTTAATAGAAAAATATGGACACACCTAAAACACTAAACCAGGTGCACACCTTCCACTTCGTCTTCCAATCAAGGCATACCTTCCACTTTCAATCATTGTGATTGAATAGAATGTTGTGATTATGAGTGATTTAGTGAAGTAAAATTTGATGTTAATATCGCTTCTTCCTAAGCAGAATTTGCATATTTTTTGTGCTTTTAGGATTTGTAGCATTTTTTTCGATTTCTTCTTCTTCGTCCTAAATACACAGTCCAAAACTGTTAAAACTGAGGAGCAAAAACAAAAGTTAAAAATCTATGTATGAAAATTATAAAGGTGTTGAATGGATTTCGATGATGAAGGTGAAGAAGATGATGATGCGTGAATATGAACTCTGACGAAGGAGGTGGAGTGTCACATAATAGGAATAGGTTTGTATACTCTATAGTTAATTATTTAAATAGTGTTAATGAAAATTACTAAATTAAATAAAATTAACAAAAATTAAAACTTGATTAAACACTACAATAAAGATCAAATTGAACAAAATTGAACAAAATAAAAAAAAATAAAAACCAAATTAATATTTAAACTTTCGTTTTAATTAAACTATTGATTAACATTAGGTATTTTAAACAGATTGTATGAATTGGTTGGCATGAGTAAATATTTCACTTTTGGTTTATTTTGGTCAATTTAAATATGCTCTTAATATACTTTTATTATAATTTTTTATTAAATTTTTTATATAAATAAAATAAGGATTAAATAGAAAACAATCATATTAAATACCTTAAAAATATATAGTAAAATGCATTTAATTTTTAAGTAAGAAAATTAATGAGAAAGTAATTTAAAAGAGATTTAGAATGACTATTAATGCCTATCAGTATCCTGATTTCCTTGAAAATTGGATTTTGAATTCCATTAGTAAAAGAAATAAATATAAATTTTAACCTATTTTTATTTAGACTAATAATTTTAAAACTTTCAATTTAAGCGAAATGAAGATGATATAAAAATAGTTTATACTTTCAAAAACAACAATAAATTTCAATTAAACAACTAGTTTAGATTTTAAGAAACAATATTTTCACATGATAGCTTAAAGTAGAAAAATGGTTCAATGGATAATAAACAAGCAATATAAAACAATCATACATGAACAAATAATGCAATGATTGTAAACAAGAAGAAACAAATTCTCAATGTGCCAAACTTTAACCAAGTAAAACAAAAAGTTGATAAAAGTCATTATCATCCTGTCATCATTAAATTTCTAATAAAAGTACACTAAATTTGGTTGAAATTCACTTGCCTATACACACTCTAAATAATTGAAAATTTTCATATTCTCCATGACCTACTGCGTAGATAACCTATTCATAAAATCAAATTCATTTTTCAAGTATTCAAACAATAACTTTAACTTTTCTATTTCTGGAAATTTTATTCTTCTCCTTTTCATGTATTTGTCATTCTCTTTCACTGTGCATTTAACTTGATATTTGAAAACTATCTCGATGAATCAACATATATGGTCAGATAATCAAATTTAGCACCTTTTATCTCCTCAGTTTTATATCAACCATGATCACTTTCTTGAAGCTTCACGAGTTACTAATTGACACCTTACATGATGACGATCCAACAGCACAAAATTTGGTGTTAGCAACAAGTTGGCAATAAGAAGAAAACAAAGAGAATTGTGAAAGCAGACGTAATGCACTTACACATAGCTCCAAGATACCATCACGGAAGTTCAACAGAGGAGTGTCAGGTTGTGACTTAAAAGTTTGGTTCTTGGATTTTCTCATTTCTACCGAGTAATAAGTGAATTTCCTTCTAAATCTTTGTTCAGATAAGTGATTCCTTCTGTTAGTATAAAAGGGTGTGCGTGTGTGTGTTCTCTCAGTCTAAACTTACTAGATACCAAAAGTAAAACAATCACGGAAGCCTTTGCTGTGGAAGGTGGCTGTCACTGTCCTCTCTCTTTCGTTTTTTTCTCTCAAAAGGGTAGTGATTTTCTTCTGTGGTTTTGGTCTATATTTGGTATTACTGCCACCTATGCAACTCAAATGTTTTTGTTCTCTTCTGGAGTTCTTTCTCTTTTCTTCTTTTCCTACTCTTCTTGCTCATGTTCGCATCAAAACTCTGTTGTGATATAATGTGTGCATGGGGCATGCTAGATACTCTATAGCCTTTGTTGTGGAGTTAATGATGGGAACATAGATTTCAAAGATAACATTGATGTTGTTTTAGCAAATAGAATCTGAAAGGCAATTGCTTTCACTCTAAGGTTTCACAGTTTAAAGCTGTTTCAGAGGAAATTTCCTTTGAACTTCTTCTGAAAGTGAGATAGGTAATACTTCTCTTTTTAAAGCGTTTTGCTATGGAGAAACAACCTTAATCCACACCAGAAAACTAAAATGACAGTGCATTTCTACATATTAGAGCTTATCATATATCTTTTTTATGACTTGAATTTCTCTGTTACTTTTGTTACAGTGATTTCTTGAGAAGATAAGATGGCTGACAAAGACAGCGTTTATGCAGAAGAAACTGCGAGGAGGGCTCCAATTTTCAGCTTCTTTAAAGATGCTAAGTAGGATTTAACACCATTTCAAATTAGTAAATTTAGATACTCTTTTTGATAAGTTCTCTTGCAGTTCAAATCAATTTATGTACCTTAATTTAGAAAATCTAGACGAATGGAACGACCATTTTTAGATACATAAATTATTATTAATGGTAGGAAAATGTATATTCATTGTATATTTTTGTTTCTTTTTATTTTATCTGCCCTTGTTTTTATATCTTTCTCCTTCTTTTCCCCTCACGTACAAGGAAAATATCTTCTTTTGTTTTCCAGCAAAATCCAAAATGTTTAGTTTGTTCATTAAACAAAATACAGGGTATGTGCTGAGTGGTTGGTTCTTGAAAGACTTGATTTTAGTTTTTCATTCTAAATAGCTGTTCTGTTACACTCCTAATTCTGATGCAGTTTCTGATTTTCATCTCAATGCAGACTAGTTTTCAAATTTGACAGCCTTGGTTGTGAAATATTATCAATTGCATTGCCTTCAGCAATGGCTTTGATAGCTGACCCTATTGCTTCACTGGTTGACACAGCATTTATTGGTCAAATAGGTATTTTCTGCTACTTTACCAGCTTTGAGCTCAGCATAGACATGGCTATCTATTGTGGAATATTATTAGTTCATATCTACAGGTCCAGTGGAGCTTGCAGCTGTAGGGGTGGCCATAGCACTCTTCAATCAAATATCAAGAATTGCAATATTCCCACTTGTCAGTGTCACTACCTCTTTTGTGGCAGAGGAAGATACCCTTTCTGGAACCAGTCCTCAAGTAGAGAAGAATGAAAGGTCGGAGGCAGGTCCGATTGTAGATGCTGAAATGAAAGAACTAGTACCACTTAACAAAGGTATCATCTTCTGGAGTGACATCTTATTGCTGCACAGAACTGCCAAGAAAGAAAGTTTTATACATGGCACATTTTAAACCCTTCCTTTTTCAGATTTGACTGCTACTGACTGTAATATAGTTAAGTTTGAACATAAGAGAAGGCGTATCCCTTCTGCTTCGTCAGCATTACTAATCGGTGGCATTCTTGGAATCATCCAAACAATGTTCCTCATAGTTGCTGCAAAACCTTTATTGAACTTCATGGGAATAACCTCAGTAAGTGCTTCATTGAAATATTGAGAATGTTTCTTGTAGTTTTTAGCAGTTGCCATATATTTCAACGTGTTCCTTCAGTGGTACAACCTTTTGTACCAGCATGATGGATGATTGCTAATTAGTACATAATATTTATGCAGGACTCTCTTATGCTAAACCATGCACATAAATACCTGACATTGAGGTCCCTCGGTGCTCCTGCAGTTCTTCTCTCGTTAGCAATGCAGGGAATCTTCCGAGGATTTAAAGACACTAAAACACCTTTATATGCCACATGTATGCCTTAACAGAATTGTATTGTTACATTTTCAGTGTAGCAATATCCCGCTGTTATCTGATTCTATCTGATGTGGTCTAGTGGCAGGAGATATAACCAATGTAGCACTTGATCCTTTATTGATATATGTTTTCCGCTTGGGGGTCAGTGGTGCAGCTATTGCTCATGTTATATCTCAGTAAGTCTTATTTCATTTAACTGATTAAACTGCCATTCAAATATGGATGAGTCTGCAAACATCTTTTGGCACCATTATCATGTCCCTCGTCTCTTATTTTCCTTGTATTCCTTTTGGCCTAAGTCATCTCTTATTTTCTAATTACCTGGTAATTAGGTACCTAATTTCACTTATACTCCTGTGGAGCTTGATAGAAAAAGTTGATCTTATACCACCAAGCATCAAGCATTTACAATTTCATCGATTTCTTAAAAATGGTAAGGATTTATTTTGCAAGACCAAAGCCTTGAAAAGGGAATGGCATGTGCATTTCTTTGGTGCTTCTAAGATTTCTTTCTAACCGACTCTTCATCTTTCCTTCTGCATTCAAGTTGACACTTTTATTATTAAATGTTTCCCTTGGATTAAGGTTACCTAGCGTTTGATCCTTGACATTTGACACTACATCTGTGCTTTCCTGTTTCAATTTTGTCACCCAGGCTTTCTACTATTCGTAAGAGTAATTGCTGTAACATTCTGTGTGACACTGGCAGCATCATTAGCTGCACGCAAGGGACCAACATCCATGGCTGCATTTCAAGTCTGCTTGCAGATTTGGTTAGCAGTGTCCCTTCTTGCTGATGGTCTCGCTGTTGCTGGACAGGTTAGACACAATCACACTGTCCATTAATCTTGCATGTTTCATACCAAAACCTTCATAACTTCTACGGTGATATCATGCTTGTTTCAGGCAATTCTTGCAGGTGCATTTGCAAACAAGGACTATGAGAAGGTCCAAGCAACTGCATATCGAGTATTACAGGTTCTTTACAATGTGAAAACATTTCCCTATCTTTCTGCCAGAAATTGATTAGTTGCAATGTAACAAGCAATTATCCTGCAGCTGGGTTTGCTTCTGGGGTTGGCTCTTGCATTCATTCTCGGAACAGGACTGCATTTTGGAGCTAAACTATTTACCAAAGATGTTAATGTCATTCACCTCATCAAAATTGGGATCCCGGTAACTAATCCTCAAATCACTACCTCATTTTTTCAACTCCAATGGAACTCAGTTCATAATGATTATCCTGATCAGTTTGTAGCAGCCACTCAACCCCTCAACGCTTTGGCCTTTGTAATTGATGGAATCAACTTCGGGGCATCTGATTTTGCATATTCAGCCATTTCTTTGGTGGGTATTTTTCTTTCATGTCATGAGATAGATTACAATGCACTACTTCTTATAAACAATGCAGGCTCAATATTGGAAACTGCTTCATATTATTGTATGGTATTATGTATGAAAGAAAGAATCGCTACAATAGAAGCTGATTTTCTTACTCATTACAATCTTTTCACTTTCACAGGTTGTGGTGGCAATTTTCAGCATAATTTGTCTACATTTTTTATCATCTGCTGGCGGTTTCATAGGAATTTGGATTGCTTTGACCATCTATATGGCTCTTAGAGCAATTGTGGGCCTTCTGAGGTAATAATTCACCTGTGATTTCTTCTTCTTATGGTTTTCTTATTCTTAGAACATTGATGAATTAAGGTGAATCACGTTGATGCAGGATTGGAACTGGATCAGGACCCTGGAAGATGATTAGGAGCTAACAACGACAGCATCAACCCATAGATTTGATAATTTCAGTGTGCATGGTGGATTAGTTGAAATGCAATGTTTGAACTTTAGAATACTTTCAGAATATAAAGAAATATACCAAATAAGAGAAACGTAAAAGCAATTAGTTTCATTTGCAAAGCTTGTCTTCTTTATTTATTTTATTATTTTTTCTCTTATATTTCTCTCGTAATTTATCGAGTAATAATTAATATTATTTTAATGACAGCTTAAAAAATATTGTTTTTTATAATTAAAAAAAGAAACAGAAAAAGTAATGCATTGGATAATTAAAGTGACGGTTTAATAATTATATTATAACAATATGATAATATTAATAGATTATTGATGTTAAATAAAATAGTTAAATATTATATGTTCAAATGATGGTCAAGAAAGTTGGCTAATATTAAAGCAAAGTCGTTTCAGAAAATTGTAAAAAGTTAGTAAAAGTGATGATAATGGAGTTCTTACTCACACTAAAAACAAATTTAGCTGAATTTAATTATTTTATAGGTTGAACGTAAATTAATTTGGTAGATTTATAGAGTTGGTTTTCATTTTTATCATTTAAAAAAATAGTTTTATTGTGTAACCTATATTAAGACTTCATTTGCGGTCATGGACTTATTAATGTTAATAAATTGATAATTAAAACTTAACTTATTTGTCATGAACTTATTAATGTTAATAAAGTAACATATTAGAACTTATAGTTTTTTTAAAGGTTATTAATACAAGTATTTGATCAAATACATATTTGATGATTTACTTATTTAGATATTCTTATGAACTAATTAAAGTTTTAAGATCATATGTGGTTGATTTATTTTTATATATTTATTTATTTAAGGAGTTAACTCATCTATCATGTTTTGTAACTTATTTTTTATTTTTAAAAACAGACACATAAACCCAATATGATTAAGTATTCTGAAATTTGCTGAATTCTCTGTATTTCACTTTATGGGAACGTGAGAATATAAACTTGTTGCTTTTATATTGATTGTGAATAAAAACCCTTTATTTGCGTTTCAATGACAAAAAACTTTGGAAAATGAAATCATGAAAGAAAGAAGGTATTATAGGAAATATGCTATTTCTTACAACAAAACCATATTAATCTTTACCTTTTTTATATTTTGGAGAGTTTATATACAAATATATATATATATATATATATATATATATATATATATATATATGGGTTAAATATGTTTTTAGTCCCTAAACTATTGGCCATTATTTCTGATTTTCGTCCCTCTTCCAAAGTAAGGTACATTTAGTCCTCGTACTTTTCGAAACTTTGGTTTTAGTCCTCCAAAACTAACACCGTGAAAATATGCTGACGTGGCTAACGGTAGACTGACAGAGTTCTTTCTTTTTTCAGAGTTTATACACTTTTCTTCTTTCTCTCTCCCTCGTCTCTTCCTTCAGTTTCAAAACACAAAACATTTTTGGGATCCATAATAGCCTTATAAATAAGCTCGTAAGCTTCGGCCAATGACCTGGCCACGCCTATAGAAGCCTCAGAACGCAATCTTGGAACCTGCATCTGCTCAAATTCCGGCAGGGAACTTTCACTTCCCAAAATAAGACCAAACAGAGCTTTCAAACACTCCGAAAGAATGGCTGGACTAGTGTCCTCCCTCTCAGCCAATGGGGTACCGACTTCATTCTCCCCTTCCTTGTGTATTGAATTCTGCAAGAGACGCATCTTTTCTGACAAATTACATCTTCTTAAGATTGCTTCAGCTTCTTTTTCCACAAGAACGCGTAAGTGATTATCAATCATTGCTCCAAGTCTATTCACGTAATCAGCGACAGCCTCGTATCCAGATAGAGGTTGTTGAATAGCACACAAGCAGTTAATGAGAAAGATTTTTGAAGGAGTTTCACTAGTCTGTCAACATATGGCACGAGTTAATGCAATGTCGCACAGAAACAAAGATATTCTACTGCATAAAACTTCCACAAGGAACTTAAATTTTTTTTTATAAAGATATATATGTTTAAGTTCTCCCATATTCCTTTCACGCACCTGGAATAACGAGTATGGAACTATATTTGTTGGTCCACAGATTATACATTTACAACATAATTTCCAGTAAAGTTACATATTACTATTCATTTCAGGTTCTAGATTCCAAGTAAAGTTTTCATTCAATTGCTCGTAGGACTGATCTTAAAAGGATTTGTAGACAACTCATGTACCAACATGGCAAATGCTTAAAAATAGAAAACTGGAAAATGAAAAATCAAAGGAAGAAATTGAAGGAAGAGACGAGGAGAGAGAAGGAAAGAAAAGCTGATAAACTCTGAAAAAGAAAGAACTGTGTCAGTCTACCGTTAGCCACGTCAGCATATTTTTCACGGTTTAGTTTTGGTGGATTAAACCCAAAGTTTCGAAAAGTATGAGGACTAAAGTGTCCCTTACTTTGGAAGAGGGACGAAAACCAGAAATGGCCAATAGTTTAGGGACTAAAAACATATTTAACCCTATATATATATATATATATATATATATATATATATATATATATATATATTAGTATATAAACTAAAAATAATGTACTTCTATGTCACAAAAATAAATATTTTCTCAATTTAATATTTTTAATATTCTCTCTCTTCTATTATTCTAAAGTTCATTTCAATCATTCATCCCAAAGTGCATTTTTTTAGTATACTTAATTACGGTAAGAATCTATTCCTTTCGGTTTTCATACTTATCTTTAATTCTAAATTATATTTTAATACTTATACAAATAAAATTATGTTTGAAAAAAGCCACTTCAATGTAAGTTTTATTAAAAACCATGTGAATTAAAGGCATCAATGAAACAAAATTAAGTATTAAAATGTTTTTAAGAGCATAAGATTGTAAGAGTATAATAAATTTAGAGTTAATTAGGTTTTAAGTTTGTCATAAAATTTTCTATTTTTAATTAACTTCTTATTAACTTTTTTTTATGTACTGAATATTTAAAATTTTGATATTTTTCAAATGAATCTTTACCGTTTAATTTGTTTTATTAATAGGTGATGTAATTGTTATCTTATTTTATTTTTTTTATTTTTTTTAAATGTAAAATTTTATAATTAATGTAAAATAATATTGAAATAATAAAATTTATTGATCGTTTTATATGAATTATTTTATTAAGTTCAAAATATCATGGGAAAAAGTAAGATGAATGAACAAAATATCATTCCTGTCACCTAATTAACAAAAAGTTAAATATAAGTGATTGAATTGAACAATAATAATTTTTTTAGTATTTAATAGCAATTTCTTTTAATAAAACTTAATTGAAAATACTCAAAATTAAGAGAAAGAACAAATTTAACTAATTATGTTATGAGGGCCATTAAGTGTACTATATATTAATATTAATATTTTTCTTGTTAATTAAAATAATACAACTATAAAATAAAAAGCGACACAGATAGCCTATTAACAAACTCCCACAAAGATTATGTTTTTGATGAAAACATGTAAGGTGGTGTCCTTATAATTCGGCCTAACAGGGTTCGTTTCAAAACCGAAAATGCTACATCTGCAGTACAGAAATATAAGCAAAAGACATAATTTTATCTATTTCTGTAATCCTTTTTTGGTACCTGAATTTTAGGCTGAGAAGGTAGAGATGGGAAAATTTTCCAGATTCAAGGTTCATAGAAAAGACTGGCATCATTTTGAGAACGAGGAATTAAATCTGCATCTTTAGGTAACAAGACAGGTTTAATTCTACTAATTCATCCTTTTTTGTGATATCTTTTATTTCTTTTCTGATTCAGCAACATTAAACATGAAAAAATAGGCCCTGGGACAAAAATCGGTTCAGTTGGTCAATATGGAATGCCTTACATGAATGTAAGTATCCTTCACATGTTTTTTCGCGTTTGTCAGTTGGCTCTGACATTGAATAATTTTCCTTTTACAGACTTTGTGCTCTGCTGAGACATTTGTCATGGTCTGACTCAAAATCTATACTTATTATCATCTTCTCGCAGTGAATTTCTTCACGCATTATTTTTGTTTCTGAATTTGTATTTTGGCTTCAACAATTATGGTATATTTTAACAGACACCTGTTGAAGCAGTGAACATCATAAACCAACTCAGGCATAATTGATATGTAACAGTTTATAGGTTATGCTGTTTAGTTATATCCTAAGAACTTTTCTTTTAATTTCGTACCATGATTTATGTTGTCAAGGAGGAAAACAAATGTATGTTTATTTCACAATTACCAATGACAGTTTATTTTATTTGTGGGTTCATCAGCAGGCTATCATGTGTATGTGTTTCAATATATATTATCATAGTACTAATGATGCTTTCTTCATGCTACAATTCTCCGTTGTTTTTAAATTTGTTCTGAATGGTACTAAACTACTTTACCACCAAAACAAATTTGTGCTGAGCTATGCTTGTTAGAATGTTACTAATTCATAATAAAAAAACATTTTAAGTTCTGATGCATAATATCTGCTACAAAGTCTTCTTGGGTTAAAGTGTGAAACTAAAAAGAGCCATCACCTTGTTTGAAACTTCTGAGAAATATCGTATCTAATCCAAGTTATACAATTATTCATTATGAAACATCATATCAGATAATAATAGTATGTAGTGTGCTAGTTACTAGTTACTGACCAAATTGCGCATAGTGGTGAAGACGTGAATCAAATACTAATATTTACTAGTTCGTGAATTTGTTAAGTATTTAGGTTGGAAATAGGAAATCTTTAATGAGAATCTGAGCAATGAGATTCACATCATTGGACCAAAAATACAAGAGAATGCAGGGAGGCCATAGAGTCATCGTAGGAGTCTAAAAAGCATATATAAATTACATACAACTAACAGTGATATGTAAAAATTTCGCTTGATCAATGAGGGGAAGTAGAAGAGAGAAAAAGACTATACAGTTTCAGTTTCTATACTTCCTGGTTTCCAGTGTTGTTCCATCTTTAAGACTTTCCTGTGCATCATTGTCCATGCCAAGGTTGAAGAGAGCAGCTGCTTGAAGATAGTATGCAGTGGGCCAGGTTGGAGATATTGATTGAGCATGCATGGCATCTCCAAGTGCCTCTTGAGCCATGTCATTCATCAGATAGCATAAGCAGCGTCTGGCATACACGGTAGGTGATACCATGGTTCCACCATCGATGAACTACACACAAAACAAGAACAGTGAAACTCGGTCTAGCAAAAGAAAGTTGGCATGCATATCCATTAACTATATAGATGAATCTTCATTTTCAATGCTTTGCGGGTAATGCCTCCCTCTTCTTGCAACTTCGAAGATATAAAGTATCATTTTAAATTTCCCCAAGTATTATTCTACCAAAATTGTAATAGCCAAAACATTCAATCTAGAAAAGTAACTGTTGGTAGACATGCCAGTAAATACTTCATTAACAAAGTAATTATCAATCTTGCAGTGTTAAAGGGTAGACACTCTGACGTTACAAAGTGTTTAAGTTTGGATGCATTGAAGATCTTATTTTTCAAGCTGACTTACTTGTGTATAGCAGTCAATGGCTGTAGAGAAGTCTCTAGCATGGAAAGCAGAATCGCCTTGCTTCTTAGAATTTAGAGTATCTTGTATTTGATTTGTCCACATTTGAAAGGAAAGCTGTGACAACATGAAAGTTGACAAAATACAAATCCATAAATCTCATTATACAAGGGAGGTCCAGTTCTGCTATGAAGTACAAAAGAATTAGCAAAAAACACTTTGTTTGTCATACTACAGAATTTGTTTCTGGCATTGGAAAAGCAGAACCAAAACCAGAAGTTGGCATTAGAATGAAGAAATGCAAAAGGTAAACTGTCATGGATATGAAAGATTTACAACGTGATGTCTTTAGTTACCCATGACCAGCGTCAAACAACTAGATCTGCATCAAGCAAGTTTCAAAATTGTGTAGACAAAAATGGAAGGCCCCTATACTCGCTGATTAGAAGTCTAAGTAGAGAAAGAAATTGAACCTATGAATTACCTCATTAGCAACATCTTCATCATCCTTGTAGCCCACTTTATCCAAAATCTCATGTACTGCAGTCAGATCTCTTCTGGAACAAGCGTCACCAAAAGGTGTTAATGAAACTGTTTCCTTTGATGACAGACTCCTATCTGGTATGCCCATTAAAACATATGACGGTACCTGCAAAATACCACAAGCTTCAAACCAAGTACGTTTCTACGATTCCAAATGCCTTCATTGATATATACATATCAGCCAAGTAAGCTTTGATCCTTGATTGAATTGATAGAATAACTTGAGAAAAGAAAAAAAACAGCAGGAGGGAAAAAGAAGGGCATACCGAAGTTTCTTTCTGAAGAGGGGTCAGAGCAGTCACGAGCGACTTAACATTTGGTCTCTCACGAGGTTCATACTGTAAACAGCGCGAAGCTAATCTCACTAACTCAGTTCCATCATCATTTGAAAAATGACCTTCCAAACATGAGTCCATTAGCAACAGAAAATTTTTGCCTCGTATAAGATCAAGTGCCTGCATGTAAAGGGGTTATTATACCTCTTTGTTTATGAAACATTACATAGAATATAATCATTTTAAACCAAAACAACAATGATGTTACTGCAAATCTGGTGAAATCCAACCGTAAAGAACTGACATTGTAAAGGTCAAAGTTTACTAAACAAAAATGCCGCCGTAAATTAAAATGAACACCAAATGGGAAAGAGGGAATGTACATGACTCGGTGGGATATGCTTTCCACTGAGAAGATCAAGTAATAGGGTGCCAAAACTGTAAACTACACTTTCAGCAGTGATTCTTCCTGCCAAATTTGAAAAACCAGAAGGCACGAAATTAACAAAAAAGGTCCTTTAGCCCCAAATAATACAATATTAACGAAAAGGCTATATCACCTGTCCTCAAGTACTCTGGAGGTGTGAAGGCTAAATTTGTACTATAGCTTCTGCCATCCCTACTGTTTTTCATGAGTCCAAAACAAGAGAGTCTAGGGTTGCCTTCCTGTCCACCAATGGTACCACATAAGTTGTCAAAACATAACGAAAGAGGCACAAAAAGAGGTTAAAAGGTGAAGTACCTGATCAAACAAAATTCTATAAGCATTAAGATCATGGTACAATGCCCTTCCTTTACTGCTGCAGTATTCCAAAGCTTGAGCTAAATACAAGGCCACCCTCAGCCTCATTGCCCATTTCATAGGCTGGGCTTCCCCTGCAGACCAGTTCATTCAAGTCACAAAATCAGGGCATGAAATGGGAAAGATATTTCAACAAACACGGGGACAGATTTGAGAGAGCACATCACTCAAATTTGACTCCTGATGTAGCTTCTAAAGCAAAATATTGAAAATGACAAAGGGTTTAACTAAATGAGATCAACATTAGATCTTATCTTATGTTGATTGCAGAATAAAAATAAAGCACATAAACAAAATAAATGGAAAACTCACAATGAAAAAGGTGTTTAGAGAGAGTTTCATTGGGCATGAACTCTGCAACAAGCAATCTCTCTTCTCCCTCACAGCAACACCCAACCAAGTTAGCCAATCTTTCACTCCTCAGTTGCCCCACAGCACGTGCCTCCTCCTGAAAGGTCCAACCAAACAAGAGACCAAAATCAGACATAAAAATTCCATTCACACCACACGCCGCAAGAAAAAGCAAAAACCAGAAGCAGAAGCAGCAGCACGAACTAGGAATTGTCGAGAATCAGGCCAAGCAGACTTATTGAAGCGCTTCACAGCAACCGTCCTATCGTCCTCAAGCCTCCCTTTGTAGACAACATTTGGAGCCTTCTCACCGTGTTCCGAGACAATGTTGTCTGGTGAGAATCCTGAGGTGGCAACTCTCAGCTGATCCAAACTGTACTCACTGAACCCTCCCCAAGGATCCTTCTCATTCCTCTTCCCATCATCATCTTTACCCACAAATCAAAAGCAAAGATGAAGTTAGCATTCAAATTAAAAATACCTTCTTGGTTTTGTTTTAGTATGTCCCCAGTGAAGTAGAAAAGGAAAGTCACCATTATCAGACAAATCATGGAGGTTTGATTTGACGTGGGAAGGCCACCAGCAGAGAGAGAATTTAGAGCAACGAGCTCCCATCGGAGAGAGTGCAATCACAGAAGAGAAAAAAGAGTATGTGTGTTGTGTGTGAGAGAGAGAAAGAGAGAGAAAGAGAGAGAGTAAATGAGACCCTTTTGCTCTCCAACAGCAACAGGTCTTGATGTGTCAGTTTAATGGAAGAAGGGGTTAGAGAGAAGAAAGATAAGATTAAAAAAGGGAAATTGAAGAGGAGTATGGCATGGAAGGGATAAAAGAAAGGAGAAAGCGAAATACGGCGGTGTTTGGGAAGAGAGAAAGTGGGGTGGGAAAAAAGATGACTTTTTTGGGATCGAAAGGTTTTCTTTTTTTCTTTGGTGTGTGTTTGCTGCGGTGGTGCTGCTCCTGCTGCAGTGAATGAATGATATCAGTCACCTCTTCTCTTCATCATTCCTCCTTTCTTCTCACACACCTTTGCACTTCCTTGCTTTTACCCTTTTCAATTATTATTTTCATTATTATTAGTCTCTAACATTTTTACTTTTTAAGGTTTCTTTGTTTTGGATGGAGACACAACCATACATAAAATCTCCTCTACAGGATGGTTTTCTTTAACTTTAAAAATAAGATGTTTTTTCATATTAAAATAATAAAAAATAACTCATTCTTATAAAACATAAATATTATATATATATATGATTATCATTATAATCATTACTTTTTATTTCATATATCCCCTGTATTTTTTAAAATAATTTTACGTTAATGTACTTTGATAAACCACTATTATTTTTAATTATTTTTTTTAAATAAACAAAAGGTTAAAAAGTACAATAAATAGTTTTTCCAAAATATATCAAGCAAATTATACCTCATAAACTTGGTCCGGTTTTTTAGTTTTAAAATTAAACCGATAAAGAGAATCATTTACATTTTTCTTAATGATTAATACAAATTAATTTAATATAAAATGACAAAAATAATATTAATTGACAGTATAAATTTTGAATATTTAAATATAAAAATTTAATATAAATATATCATAATATTTAATTTTAAGTTTCACCCCTTCAAAAAAAATTAATTGAATCTTGATACATTATTTTAGTTTATTAAGTATTTCAAATTTTGTGATGAATATAAACAATATTTAAATAAATCCTAAGTAATTTTTTAATTCAAATTTATTGAATAATAAAATTGTATAATACGAAAGAAAATGTTTACCATTATAATTATTGTTTACTATTATTATTATCAAAATATTTGTATTGGAAATAATAAAATTATTTATTGTTTTATTAATTTCAAAATTATTTTATATTCACAACAAATTTTCACATTTCTTAATATATAAATTTAAATAAACAAGCTGATGATAAAATAAGATAATAGTTTTATCATCAGTTAATAAAAAATTAAACAATAAATATTTAATTAATAATAATAATAATAATAATTTAATTGAAAATATTAGAAAAATGTATCACAAAATTAATATTAAATATAATATTTAAGTAAAAGTTTTAGTAATTGACATTAATGTTATCAATAACATGATTATATTTATTTAGACAAAAAAATGTTTTAAGTTTGTTTTATTTTATTTAAAAATTAGATGATACTATATCAACCATTTTCATTGATATGATGATTTACTATACACTTATTTTTTTCTTTAACTTTTTATCAGTTTTTTAATTCTTTTATTAAAAATTTAGGTTGATTTTACAATTTAGTTAAACAAGTTACTTGCCTTAAATTAATGTTACTTTATTAATCGTTTATCGGGTAATATTGATATAAAATATTTTTCGTGAGAAGTAAATATAAATTTATCGAGGACCTTAAACATTTATAAATACTTTATTTTCTTTCTAACCTTACTTATTTCACAGTTAAAGAGACATCAGCAATATTTCAAACTTATATCAGTCAAAACACAACGTGTTTTGACAATAATTTTTTTAAAACTAACTGATTCTAATCAATAAAGTGTAAAATAAACTTGGATAGTGAATATTTAATTTTTCAACTAAAAAATAATAACTTTTTTAATTAGTAATAATTTTATCAGTTTACATATAATTCCTTGTAAAAGATGCAAAGTTACCAACTGTCTTTATTAAAAACAATAGAAATACAGTTATGTTTAACGTAATTAATTAACTTGTTTAATGAGATTAAAACGTATGTTAGATTTTATTTTAAACTTCGGTGCTACGGTGAAAAGGATTATTATAAATAATAGTAAGACGAAGATTTAATCATTATTAACTACTGGTAATTTTATTTTATTTTTTTATCAGGACAACTTTTTCCATGACTAATTTAAAATAGGCATTTAATTGATCATCTTACTAATCCTGTTTATTAAACTTTTTATTTATAAACGATATGGAATTTTTATATATATTTTATTGATGTCTTATATATTGAAGTATGCCACGTAAAAGGGTCACTATCAAAGTAAAAACATTAGTTGCATATTATTACAGATACTTAGATACATTTATTGTTGTCCTAATAATTATCTAGTCACTTTCAACATTCTCCTGTCTTATATACAGTAGTGTCACAAGGATTGAGAAGTTTCATTAATTTCATTAGTGACCTTATGTTAATTTATATTATGCTTGTCTTTATGATTATTGGCAATTGGTTACTTAAACACCCCCAATTAACACTTTATTTCGATACAAGAGTCCAAATAAATTAATATTCATGTGTTCAAACATCAATGAATTTTAAAGCTATAATTAATAATCGCAATTACCAATTAGATGCCCTCTAAACTGGCAGTTAAAACGTTACATTATTAAGTTAAATTAAAAATTATCATGGCAAATTCATATTTAAATTTTGATTACGCATGTTAATAACTTTTTCAATTAATTGATTGAGTATCTTTCTAATTTTTTAAAGTCATTTCACTGTATAGATATGTAAAGATAATATGGATAAAATATGCACGAAACAAATATATATATATATATTTATTGTTATATATCATGCATTCTAAGTTTTAAAAAAATCAGAAATACTTGTCGTTAAACAAGCTTTTGTAAAGAGTTGAGTCATTGACATATTCACTTTCAGGCAAAGGTTCATCCAAGATGTCTTCAATTTCACCATCTTCACTAACCTCTCTAATTTCATCATCTACATAGGTTGAATAATCATCTCTGAAAAAACCTTCCAGGCCAATTACCAATTCCTTCGGATGTCATTATGCTTGTGAAAATTAGATAAAATTATATACGACAAAAATTATAAAATAAAAACTCATTATAAAATCATTATTTTGTAAGAAATTGTTTACCAACGAGAGTTTTTGATTTTTTTTCCAGGCCAATTACCAATTCCTTTGATGTCATTATGCTTGTGAAAATTAGATAAAATTATATAAGACAAAAATTATAAAATGAAAACCCATTATAAAATCATTTTTTGTAAGAAATTCTTTAACCGCGAGTATTTCTAATTTTTTCCAGGTCCTATACCAATTTCTTTATGCTTGTGAAAATTGGATAAAATTAGATAAGACAAAAATTATAAAATGAAAACTCATTATAAAATCATTTTTTGTAAGATTGTTTAACAGCCAGTGTTTCTGATTTTTTTTCTGTTGGGGCTACCATAGGAAAATGTTGGTGGAGTGAGAGAGATGAAAAATAAAGATTTGAGAGGAACGAGGGAGGTGGTGAACAAGGGTTTCGAGTTTTTTTTTAGTTTTGAGAATGAAAATTATTAAAATATCCTTAACCTTAAAACTTAGAATAGATGATATATAAAGGTATTTTTGTCTACTAAAACCGTGTACTAAATATACCCACTAAAAAACAGGACGCTCGTTAGCAAATCATATATATATATATATATATATAATAGATACTCGAATGTAATAGGTGTAAGTAAGTACATTATCATTTATCAACTTATGTATCAAAGTAAAATTACCAATAAAAAAATATTAATCATGAAGTAATTATTTAAAATTTGATTTCATATATTTTTATCTTCTATTTAAACTTATAAAATTGAAGTTATTTTATAAAAGAATAATTTTTTAAAATTTTATATTTTGGTACACTTCATTTAAATTTATTTTAAAATAAATATATTAACATAAATATTTTATTGAGTAATTTAATTTGAATTATACTTAAAAGTTATTTTTATTTAAATTTACATTTTAAAGATTTATTTTTAAATAAAGTTATATAAATAATAAAAAAACTAAATATAAAAATATCTTCAAATGTACATGCAAAAGAAAATGTGGATTTTTTTTAAATATTCAATGAATAACACAATAAATAGTAAAATAATATAATTTAAACCAGACAGATAATAAATAGAACTACCCGCCAATCCAATTCGTTATCATATAATATTTTTTACGTGTGAGAAAATTATTTTTTTCAACGTTTTCAAAGCATAAGCTTAATTATATATGTAATTGATATAATAAAAGTTATTTCTTATAGTGTGAAGACTTTTATATTAGTATTATTATTATCATTATATATTTTTTAAATCCTCAAATAAGATGTTATGTCAATAAATTCACTTAAGCACGGTGTTTTTGGAGTTTTTATCTTTTTATCGCAATTTTTTTCTTATATAAAAAAATTTAATATATTAAAAGAGAAAAGACATATAGAAATTATAAATAACATTTATTTTTAAACAATTTTTGAGTGTAAAAACACATATCATTTACATAGAGATTAAAATACAAGAGTGACTTTAACTATTTTTTATAAAAATATTAATGTTTTAACTTTAATTTTTATTCAAATAATATTATTAAAATCAATATTATTTGTTTTAGAGTTACTTACTTTACTATCCTTTATAAACATAATTAAATAAAGAGAAAAAATATACATTATCTCTTTCGACTCCTAAAAATCGTGAACATTTTTTTTCTTACATATATCAAAATAATAATAATATTATATTTATTATGTACAATATTATCGGTATTAGAAAATTTCATACTATTGTGAAATATCCCATTGTTATACTGTTCAATGAATTTAATGTTTGAAATATATTGAATTTATTAATAATATATTATGTTTGTTTAATCTAAATATATATTATACACTGGAGAACATTTTGTTTTTCAAGACATCGTTGATGTGCTACCAAACGCGGAACCACTTTGATTTGACGGAAGTTATAAATATCTTTTTTTCCTTTATCTCTAACTATTATAACTAAGTAATTAAGCTCCGGAAAATGGTTAAATTAAATTTAAATAAAACTAATTTTATTTCCAAAGCAGTTCAACTGAAATAAACTATATACTTATTTATGTAGAGTGAACTACACTGCATTGCAAATCAAGTTAACTGAATTTCTTAAACTACCTTAATCACTTTACTATTATAAGTGAACTCATTGTCAAATATATTTTTCAATTTCAAATACTATCGGTTAGTTTATAAAGTTTTATTTAAGAACTATTCAGTTTGTAT